GGCCAGGGGCGGTGGGGGGCCGGGGATAGTAGGATGGTGTGGGGGGGCCAGGGGTGGTGGGCAGAGCTAGAAACCAGGCCAGTGAAGACCAGCTGTGGCCCAGAGGCAGAGCCCAGCCTGACGGAGGGGGCAGAGAGCAGAGGCAGCAGATCAGAGAGCGGAGGCTGAGCCAGCTGGGGTCTGAGGTCTGGGACAGGCCCCCATCTGAGCTGTTCTCCTGCCTCAGCTGAGCTCAGCCCCTCCAACTCTGGCGCCCGCAGGCCCCCTTGGTTCTCCTGTCACACGGCTGCTCTGTGGTGTGCTAGGCTGTGGGCTGAGCAGCTGACAGATGCTCCTGCTCCGGGGAAAGACCAGCTGGGATGTGCAGTGACTGGCAGGCAGGACTCCAGTGACTCACCCTTGCCTCCCCCTGCCCGCCCTCAGCCTCCTTCCTGCTCCAGGTCTGCAGCCAGAAGAGGAGGATCCGCCAACGTCTCCCCCTTTTCCTTCTCTGCCTTGGACACTCAGGGCCTTGCAGCTGCCCTGGGGGGGTCACAGAGGTGGGTGGGGCATGGGAGAGCAACGGGCGCCAAGCCCCAGCCTGAGTCAGCAAAGCAGCTCCCCACTCTTGTGCAAGGTTCTGATTAGAACAGAGGCCCTAAATTTAAGGCCTTGATGCCTTCTCCTTTGAAGCTCTGTCCCGCAGCCTAGAGAGGGTCACATAGCTAGTCCAGGCGACATGGCTGTGGGAGCCTGGCTGTGCTGGGATGTGGCACCCCTCGGCTGCCTGCTTGAAGTCAAGCCCCCTCCTCTGTGGCCTTCTCCCACGGCCCTCAGCCCTAGGGAACTGAGCTTTGGTGTAAGACGGGGCAGGGTTCAAATCCCAGCGGCAATCTAGGGCAGACCTCAGTCTCCTCATCTGTAAAGTGAGGACAATACCAGGGAGTGCCTCGGGGGTGGCCCTGAGGCCCAGGGAGATAATGCAAATGGAGCCCTGGTCTAGAGCTTGGGGTGTCCCGGAATCCTGGGAGAGCCTCCCCTCCCCAGACTCCACCTGGTGACCAGAGGCAGGACCACTTCCCTCTCCCACCCCAACCCTGGGCCCCAGTTCATCTTCACAGACAGAGGAGCAAATTATGGCCCCTCTCCTACAAGGAGGCTGGCCGCCAGGCAGGAAGAGGTTCCCAGTGGGCATGCTAGGCAGTGAAGACAAGGACCCCCGACCCCTAGCGCAGAACCACGGTTACTCCCTCTCCCAGGACCTCGCAGAGTTCTCACCCCATTCCCTCGGCCTGGGCCCACAGCTGGTGGTCCTGGCGCTGTGCGGGAGAGTGGCTCTCCCTCTCTGGCCCTCAGTGTCTCCAGAGTGGGAAGCAGCACTGCCTGCCTCCAGGGACGTTGTCAGGTTAGCGACTGGCTGGGAAGTGTGTGGGGAAGGCCAAGGGGCTCAACACCACGACACCAGTGGGGATTTCCCAAGTGACAGGCAGCTGTGCCGGCCGCCAGCCTCTGCTCTGACTGCAGCCCCTGCTGCCGCTACAGAGGAAGTCATTTTTCACAACCCCAGCTGACCTAGGTGAGGGATCCAGCGGTGGCTTCCCCCTAAGGCCACTGTCCCTGCCTGGCCCAGCACCAGAAGATACGGAACCCACTCCCACCTCTGGTCAGGCTGCCACTGGAAGGCTACCGGCAGGATAAGGCCCGGTGAGACCCACTGGGGCCCGGGGGGCACCTCAGCCGGTGGTGAGGAGAGCGGACGCCTGTGGGTGACAGTGGCCAGCTGCACCTGCAGGACTGGAGCCGCTCACTCCGCCCGTCTCACGGGGGCAGGAATGGCCACCCTCCCAGGGCGACCTCTTGGTGGTTACAGCCAGGAGGGAAGGGAGACGGTCGTTGTGTGCGTTGACAGAGACATGGCTGTGTGCACATTTGTACAAACGCCCCCTCCATGCACACACGTTTGCGTGGCACAGGTCCGCCTGTGGGCACGGCGGCAGGGCGTGTGTGAGGGCGTGTTTCCGTGGCTGTGCCCTACACGCTCACAGGATGTCCAGAGCCACGAGCACACGTGGCCTGCGCTGGGTGGGGCGTGTGTGCGGTGAGCGCCTGAGTGGGCGAGGTGAGGTGAAGCGCTGTGTCTCAGGCTCTGCCCTGCCTGCCCGCCTGCGCTTGCTGAGAGAGGAGAGAAAGCCCGCTGTTGTGTGCAGGGAATTCCAAGTCTGTCACCTCTCAGCCCTCCTGGCGGCAGCCCTGGGAGACGGGCCAGGCAGGGAGGAGGGGGTGGCCCCGGGGTCTGGGCAGTTTCTCTGGGCGGCCTGATGCCGCCGCAAGCCTGCTCTGGGCTGCATGTCCTCCCTCCTGGGTGAAACAGAGGCAGGAACCTGTCTCTCTCAGGGGCAGAGATGGCAAGACGCCAGCCCAGTGTCCGTTATTCCTTGCTCACAAAACAGATGAATTTAAAAAAAGAACGAAACCAGTTACCATCAGTTCTATTCCAACTCATGGCGACCCCATGTGTGCAGAATAGAACTGCACCAGGCCTTTCTTCTGCAGCACCTCCGGGTGGGTTCAAACCGCCAACCTTTTGGTTAGTAGTTGAGTGCTTAGCCATTTGCACCACCCAGGGACTCCCCTTACTCACAAGACCCTGATTTGATTGGGGTGGGTTGGGCCCCTTTGTCCTTCCGTCCTTCTCCCCGCTGCCTGCACGTGCTCCTTGGGGCTCCCGCAGTGATGTTGGAGCTTACGGGAGCCTCAAGGACGGGAGTCAGTGCTGGGATCTTAAGAGCCAAGGGACAGACGGAGCCCGAGACCCTGCTGCCTGCAGAGCCTCCGTGCCAGCCCTCCCTCCGGACTTCTGCAGGAGGAGAAACACAGCCAAGCTTGTCTAAGCACCGATGTTGCGTCCTGCTTCATCAGCCAGACCTAGTCCTGGAGCCCGCTTCTTGCTTCCAAAGCAAGACTGTCCCAAGCATGTGGGAAGCTTGCAGGCCATGTGGACAGACTGATCCCTCTCGCTCGTTCTTCCTCATTCCCTCATTCGATTATTCTCTATCTCCTCCCACCCCCACCATTATTGCTTGAACCCTGCTGTGTGCCAGGCGCTTTCTTTGCATTATCTCTCTGGAACCTCCCAGCAGCCCCAGGGAGAGGGGACGATTAGCATGGTAGGTTCTCTGAGCCCTTTTAGAAGAAGAGCATTCATTAATTACTTGAATGGTTCCTTAGATGATGCTTTCATCGACCAGCCCCCTCCCAGAACTCACGCCTCCCCCAACTCTAAAGGCTGTGGGGCCCAGGCGGCAAGTAAGCTAGCCTGTCACCTGCCTCAGGGATGTAGTTGAGCAGGACCGGCCACGGGGCAGACTCCAAGTGCCTTCTCCGTCCAGCTTCTGCTCCATAAACACCTGAAGTCTCTCCCACCCAAAGGAGGCCCCAGAGTCCACTTCCAACCAGGACACCCAATACTCCCTCTCCCCAAAGCAACTCTACGGGGGACAGCTGGGGGTGGAGGCTAAGAAGGAGGCACAACACGGCTCCCTGGGACCAGAGCAACCCCGAAACCCCCACTCCCCACTCAGGTGAGCCCTGCCCGTGCCTACCTTGGCCAGCTGCATCCTGGGTGGAGGGGAACTGTTGCTGGCCTCCCCCCTCCAAGCCAGCCGAGGAGAACGGGGCTGCCGGCTGGCAGCTGCCTCATGTTTGCTTGGACCAGACGCAATTGTCACTGGCAGCTTCGCATCCGCCCCCTGCCCACCCCTCCTCCCTCCCTCCCTGCCTGCCTGCCTCTAGCTGCTCCCCCCTCCCCCCTCCCGCTCTGCCTCCTTCCCCCGCTTCCCTTGGTCTCTCTCTCCCTCTCTCTCTCCTTCTCTCTCTCCCTGTCTCCCTCTCTCTCATGCACACACTTATTTACTTCCCTGTTTTCCGCCCCCCTCCCAGGCTCTATGTCCCGGTTGCTCCCTGTGTCTGTGGTTCCGGGTCCTGACCTCTCAGCCCTTCTGGCTCTCCTGGTCTCCCCCCCCCCCAGCCCCGTCCTGTCACTGGGTGTCTTTCTCTGTGCCTCTCCTGTCCTTTTCTTTCTCTAACACCCCCCTCACCCCACAGACACATTCTGCTCCTCCGCTCTCTCCTCTTGGTTACCCCTGTCAGAGGGAGAGGTTGCAGGGGGCTCCAGCACACATGTTCCTGCCCAGCAGGGGTGGGCCTGGGCAGCAGTCCAGCCTGGAGAGGCTCCTGGGGGCATTCTTCAGAACAAGCCACACCTTCCCCTACTCCCTACCCCTCCCATGACTTACAAGTCCTGCCTCAAAGACACGGGGGTGGGGGGGGGGCATTGTGGAGCCACCCTCTGACCACCTCGGTCTGGGGGTTCCTGAGGACAGCCGGGAGCCATTGAGGCCCAGACGGGAAGCTGAGGCCACAGAGGGGTCTGTCTCAGGCCGGAGGCCAGGGTTTCCCCCGTGCCCCTCCAGCCGCCCAGCAGACTGGTCGTCCTCTGGCTACCCCTGGTGTCTGCAGCATCCTCCCCACAGGGACCTCACCGTGGGTGCACGACCCCCCAGTGGCCTCAAAGATGGGGGCTGGCAGCCGGAGACGGAGGTGGCCTCCAGGGGCCGTAACACGCAAGTGCCTCTCAGGTCTCCCAAGTGCCCAGGGTGGTCCACGCCTGGGTCCCAGGTCACCAGCTGGCATGCTGCACGGCCGAGGGACCACCCTGACCTCCTGCAGGGGGCAGCAGAGGAAGGCTGTAGGGCCCTGGGTGTCCTGGGGAGAAGTGCTCCTTCCTGCACCTCAGATGGGCAGCTCCTGGGCATTTGCTCAGCCTCAGGGAAACCACCTAGGAGCCAGGTGCCCGGCACCCTCTGCACCCTCTGCCAAGTTTCCCTTTGCAGTGCCCCGAGGAGCCAGCTTGTGCCAACGGTTCCCATGGAAACAGAGCCCTGCGATGTCCCTCCCCCACGCTGTGTGCACAAGAGCACACGCGTGCGCACACATGCCCATGTGTCTCTCTCTTTTCCCCAGCCAATTAGCTCCAACGTTCAGATCCTCAGGCGGAAAAAATAGCCCCGAGTTATTGACCCACTCACTGAGGCAGAAGAGGAGGCAGGCAGCCCTAGGGTTTGGCCCAGCTGCACATCCGGGACAGCAGGGGCTCAGGGGACCCTGAACTCCAGCCCAGCTGCAGCCTGGGAAGCCCCTCCTGCAGGCATTCACCCCACAGGCCAAACTCCCTGGAGCCCATTGGCTGTGGAGGGAAGGGGGGTCAGCCTGCGGAGGTGGCCTAGCCCTACCTTGTCTTCCCCCAGCCCCCACACGAAGGGCCTCGTCAAGCATTGGGAGGGTTCGCGGTGGCCTGGGGTTGTCTAATGTCTCACTCTATAGACGAGGACAGTGAGACCCAGAAAGTTAAAGGATCTTCCTGGGGTCATAGGCTTAAAAGTGACAAAGCCGGGACATAAAGCCTGCTCCTTTCATTCCAAAGCCAGGACTGTGGGTAAGATCTCCCCCAACCAGTTACACAGCCAGGTTTCATATGCCCGGCTTGAAAACACACAGGTGATAGAGAAACATGCTTGGTAAAGACATCAAGTTTGGTAAAGCAGAGGGTCAGCGAGAATGAGGGCAGCCCTCCATGAGACGGACTGACACAGTGGCTGCAACAATGGGCTCAAACATGGCAACGATTGTGAAGATGGTGCAGGACTGGGCAGCACTTTGTTCTGTTGTACCCAGGTCACTGTAAGGAGGAGCCGAGTCACCTAACTCCAACAAACAACAAAGAAAACTCGCCCGTCACAGCGTCCAGGGCCAGCCTGTCCTTACTTGTGGCAAACGTCTGAAGAGGTAGGACTAGAGAAGGCCACCCCCAAACTATCACCAGCCTCTGTGGAAAATCACGCACCCCACCACTTGGCACGCTCTCTGAAATTCCACCATTAAGAGATTCCTTCTTCAAGGGAGAATGAAGAGAACAGGATACAAGGAAAAAATTAGTCCAAAGGACTAATGGACCACAGCTACCATGGCCTCCACCAGACTGAGTCCAGTATAGCTAGATGGTGCCCAGCTACCACCACTGACTGCTCTGACCAGGATCACAACAGAGGGTTCTGGACAGAGCTGGAGAAGGATGTAGGACATAATTCT